GGGGGTGATTTCTTGCTTTCTGTCTCTCTGTCTCTGTCTTTCTGGCGAGCGCACGCACGCTGTAGTGAAAACCTCTCAAAAAAAAAAAAAAAAGTATATATGTGGTCCTTTTTAAGCTTCCACCTTCTACAAAATTTGTTAATAATAAGACTGAATGTAGGGACCAGCATATGGCATAATGGCTTTGTTGCTGGACTCCCATGTAGTCAACTGCGGTTTGAGTCCTGGACCTGGAGGCTTAAACTCATGTTGGGTGCATGTGTAAGCATGCCTGAAATCCCAAGAGGAGAATAGAGGAGAAGAAACTGCAGTGTGGCCATCCTGCTTGAGGGTAAGTTCTCTCTTTCTGTTTCTTTGGCAAGTACATGTGCCCTATAGCATAAAATCTCTCTCTTAAAGAAAAAAAAAAAAGACTGGATGGAAAGATACTGTAGTATGGGCTAAAATAGATTTCAAGTTCATTTAAAATGTCTTGATCATCTTAAAAATAGTAACTCTGTATGACCAGAAGGTAGCATGGTGGTGGCATGGTGGTTAAGGTGCTGGACTCTCACATGGCTGATCATGATTTAAGTCCCAGATATGGTGGCTTGAAAATCACACTAGGTGGTGTACCTGCATGCCCAAAGTCCAAGGAGGAGAATGGAGAAGAAGGCATTGTGGTGTGGTTGTCCCCCTAGAAGGTGACTTCTCACTTTCCTTCTCACTGCCTCTGTCCCCCTAGATGGTGACTTCTCACTTTCCTTCTCAATGCCTCTCTCTAGTGAGTACACAAGCCTTACAGCAAAAATCTTTAAAAAAAACAAAAGTAACTTTGCATGGGATTAGACTAGTTCATTAATTTAGAAAAAGAATACAATGGAAACTTTGGGATATTTATTAAGGTAAATTACTCTTCATAATATTAACATGCTTTATTTATATGGAAATAACAGCACCAATTAAAGTCAAGCCTTATGTTATTCAATAAAGTATTCATGAACACTTAGTTGATGTAAGGATATCAGAAACTCTAAAAATGTTAGAAGCATTGGATATGTATAGATAATTTTGAGAGTTTATCAGTTTTCAGATTTGGAATCTAAATCTCAGAAAGGTAAGAAACTCCTTGCCCAAGTCTGTGCTGTTGGTTACTGTGAAGTGAGGTCTAGAACCAGGTGAGCAATTCACTGTCAAATGCTGTCAATATCACATAACAGGTAAATGAATCCCAAAGTAAATTATGTCAGGAGATGCTGTATGAACGTCTGCATTATACAGTGATCTATGCTAAAGCCCTAGAAAGCTAGAGGTATACAAAGAAGACATTGCTTTTCTTAAACACACTGTAGCCATAGTAAAGAAGATAAGCCTAAAAGACTAAAAATCAAACACAAGGTTTAGTTTTAATACTAATGCAGACATGAATTCAAGAAATAAAAATGTGCTATTAGTTTGCATGTTGATATGGGTTTCCATAAATGGAGCTCTGAGAAAAGATAGCTCACCACAAAATGGGGAAATAGAGAAGTTGTTGGAGGACAGAGTGGATCTCCAATTGAAATCTGAAGCAAGAGGAGGATTTAGGAGAGGAAAAAAAAAAAGATGGTATTATGAGAAGATGGAACTACATGAATGGATGTAAATTCCATTCATATCTCTAAAGAGCTCCCCAAAACATCACACAGTGTTATTACTGGAATAGCTAAATGATCTTGTCACATATTGTAAAGGTTATTTTCATCAAGAAGTGAAATGAAATGTTGATTATCTATGCTGGTGAGTTAGGAAAAAAAGATATAAACTGGGAACTATCAATATAATGCTTTATTTATTTACTTACTTATACAGTCATCCATCGTATCCACCGGGGATCAGTTCAGGAACCCTTTCTGCACCATTCCCCACTCTCTGAGAACATGAAAACTGCAGATGCTTGAGTCCTCTATATAAAATGTTACAATAATTGCACATAACCTATGCATATCCTCTTGTATACTTTAAACCACCTCTAGATTACTTACAGTATCTGATATGATTGAGTGCTATGGAAGTAGTTACTATACTATATTGTTTAGGGAATAATGACAAAGAATGAAAAAGTCTGTTATGTTCAGTACAGATGCATCCAATTTTTTATTCAAACATTTTCAATCCATGGTTAATTGAATCCATGGATGTACAACCCATGGATACAAAGGCCAATTGTACCTCATTGTTACACAGTGAAATTGAGGAATCTTTCAAAACTACAGGACATACAGTGAACAAAGTAAATTACTAAGGGAAAAAAAAAACACCCAAACAAACCAAGAAGCAAAAGCAGCACATCCAGAAAAGCCAAGTATATGGTTCAGATGGTGGTTAGCGGGTAGTTGCGAGAGGTGGAGTAGAAGGGGTGTGAGGCAAGAAAAAGAGTTGCTCTTCTAAGCAACTGCAATATTTTTCATACACTGGACTAAAAATAAGATTGAAAACTTGTAATTTTAAGAGAAGCCTAGCCTTCCCTAATGCTGAAATGAGAGACATTTCTCCTTTGAGTCCTAAATGAGCCAACTGAATGACATCCTAGGTGGTAGCCTCATCTTTATCCTTGACCCTATGTTTCCAACAAAGAATTTCACATGGCTGTTTTTTTCTTTTTTCTTTCTTTCTTTTTTCTTTTATAGAGAGAATTTTGCTGTAGTCCACATGCACTTGCTGGAGAGATAGACAGAAAGTGAGAAATCACTCCCTGGTGGGCTGGCCATGCCACAATCCCTTCTTCCCCATTCTCCTCTTGGGATTTTGGGCATGCATGCACATGGGTCTGGTGTGAGATTTAAGCCACCAAGTCTGGGACTTGAACCAAGGTCAATTATGTGGGTGTCCAGTAATGCAATCATTATGCCACCTGCTGGTCTTCACATGGCTGTTTCTTATGCTGACCCTCAACAGAGGAGAAGCACATCATGCTGAGGCACAATTGTTGCAAAACAGTGTGGTTCACATGTCCAGCTCTACTTGTAATCTAAGAGTAAAATTTCCACTAAGTACTACCTGTGCTTATTTTCAAACTGATTCTTTATTCGCTTGATGAAAATTAGTTGTTGGATACATGACAAGCATGGTATACAGCCATAAATAAAACAGTTATTCTCATGAGGTCAAACATTCTATTGTGAAAGACAAAAACAAATAAATGTATGTTATGTGGTGATACATGGTATGGGGAAAATAAGGCAGAACAAGGTGATGGAGAACATGAGCGGCAGTAGAAGACTACTTTTTACAAAAGGTCACCACACAAGATCTCTCTGGTATGGTAACACTTGAACAGAAATCAGCACGACAGGGGAAAGGAAACTCAACAATATCTGGGAGAGAAGTGTTGAAGGCAGAAGGAACAGTTAGAGAGACTTAGAGACAAGCATGCTTGGCGTGTCTGAGTAACTGTAAGACAGCCAGCCAGGCACAGGCAGGATGAAGCTCTTATGAAAGTGAAGGAGTCAGGATGAGGTGAGAAAAAGAAATCCTAATGGACAAAATCAATCTTTTTTCAGGAAATCCCATTCTGTCTGCTTCAGCAGAGCCAAAGGCAGATGACGACAGCCAGTGTACACCACAGAACACCATGATCATTATAGCTTAAATACTCAATTAAAACAGACATTCAAATCACCTACTACAGACAGGGATTTTGTTGTTGTTGTTCTTCTTCTTCTTTTTTTTTTGGTCTAAAGCCCACCTATACTCTTTGAAGAGTATTAGAGCAAAAACTAGGGTTATGATTTCTGTCACTTCCATATTCATACAATGTCCTAATTTTTGCTTCTTCATGAAACCTCCCAGATTTTTAAAATGCAAATTGTTCCCTCTAACTGACATGCAGTATCAAATCATTCATTAAGTTTAAATCAATTGAATGCTGCAGGGCATCTTGCAAAAATGTTGAACTTGATTTCAAAGACAATCTGGCAATTGTGTGATAGCAGAATCTACTGTTTATCAAGGGCACTTGCGTATGTCAAGAAAACTGTATCATCAGTTTAGAGAAGACAACTTATATCTGTTTCCCCATAACAGGGGGCATGCATCTAAAACCCTGAAAAGTGGTATCAAATCATTTGGACATAGTAAAAAAAGAGGCATTTCAAAACACATTTGTTTCATGCGATGAGTAATATTCTGTTAGGAACCCATCTTAAAGCCTCTGTGATGGTCTAATAGACATTAAAATACTGGATCTACAAGATTATCAGTAATTGGTGCCATAAAGAGGCATATTTCAAAACATTTTTGTTTCATGCGATGAGTAATATTCTGTTAGGAACCCATCTTAAAGCCTCTGTGATGGTCTAATAGACATTAAAATACTGGATCTACAAGATTATCAGTAATTGGTGCCATATGAAGTTCAGAGATCTTATTCCATTAGCAATTCACCAGAAAAATAAGACAAGTAAACAGTAATAAAAACTGCAAGTACCCTGTGTGGTTCTTGATAAATTTTGTCCCAATGTGACAAGAAGCACATCAATGGTCAATAATAGACCATCTTTGTCTAAAGGTCCATCTATGCTACACAGAAAATACTGCAGTGAGAAAACAAGGCTTATAACAAAACAAAACAAAACAAAACAAACCTGCCAGAGGGCACAAGCACTCACTAGAGAGAAACAGAAAGTGAGAAATCACTCATGGGGGGGGATGGTCATGCCTCAGCCCCTTCTTCATTCCTTTCCTTTCAGGATTTTGGGCACACATGCACACTCATGTGCCTGGCACGATTTTCAAGTGTCTGGGTTGAGGACTTGAACCGTGCAGTCAGTCATGTGGGATCTATCTGCCTTAACCACCACACCACCAGCTAGCCCAAGCTTGTAATTTCCATCAAGAAGAAAACTGACATAGTGATTAGGTGACCAATGTTGGCTTATAAATTAAATTATTAGTATAAAAATCTTTAGAACAGTAATTTATATACTCACCAGTAACATTAAAAAATATTGTGTAAAATTTAAATAGGAACAATCACAAACCTGCTCGGCCAATAATGAAGCTAAACTTGAATAGGCATCTGCAAACTCTGGACCGTATTTAATGGAATCTTTCAGTAAGGTGATAGCTTCTTCTTTTTTTTCCTGGGACCTACACAAAATAAGGAAGGAAATATAATATTATTTAATAACTTTGTTTAAATCCTCTGATTTGACTTTATTGATAAAATTTCATTTTTTTTTAATCAATGGTCAGGTGATTCACTCTGGATTTTATTGCCAATAAACGAGATTGTCTCAAGATACTGTTTCTGTCTCTGAATTCTCGGTGGAAAGTGTGTTAAGATGTAATGATGCTGCAGGTTATTCACTTACTTTTTTAAACCTTCTATTTCCTGCTATGCACTTTTTAAGAGTGCAGATATATAATCCCTAAACATATTCATGAGGTACAAGTGATTTTCCAAGAAACCAACATACAATGATCAAATCCATGTAATTAACATATCATCTCAATCATTTATCATTACTTTATACTGGTTACATTCAAAATTCTTTCTTTCTGACATATCCAATAAATCTTTGTTACCCATGGTTACCCTAGCTACAGAACACTAGAACTTATTCCTCTTATCTAACTTTAATTTTGTACCTGTTAACCAATTTTCTCTTCCCCTCTTTCCAGCCTATTCTATTTTCTACTTTTATGACGTCAACTTATTAAATTTCCACATATGAGTAAGAATATGAGATTTGTCTCTTTTGATACCTGGGTTATTTTATTTAACATAATATCCTTCAGTCTCATTCTGTTGTCTCAAATGACAGGATTTTATTTCATTTTTAGAATTATTTACTTATTATTATTGTTATTATTATTATTATATTAATTTGCCATAGAGCATAGGGGGGAGAGAGAGAGAGAGAGAGAGAGCATGCTGCCAGGTATGGGGCTCAAACCATGGTAGACTATGTGGGATTCCAGTGCTTTAATCACCAAACCACCTGCTGGCCCCAACAAGATTTCATTTTTAATGGACAAATAAAATTATACTGAACTAAGAAGCTTCTGAACAGCAAAGAAAACAATCCACAGAGTAAAGAGACAACCTATAGAATGAGAGAATATATTTGCCAACTATACACATGACAAAGGATATACAAGAAATATACATATACCAAGATACACAAGAAACTCAAAACAACTCAGAAGAAAATAAACAAATAAAAAAATCCAAACAATCCAATTTAAAAATAGGTACATGATCTGAGTAGACATGTCTTGACAGAAGACATACAAATGAGTGTATGGAAAAATGTTCAACATCAATCATTATCAGGGAAATGCAAATCAAAACCACAACAAGCTATCATCTCACACTAGTTAGAATGGCTATTATAAAAAAGTAAAAAAAAAAAAAAAAAAAAAAAAAGGCTGGCCCCGCTGTGATATGGAAGATGATTTCATTTCCAGGTTGATCTGTACATACTGAATGCATGCATGCCCACGATCCTAGCTAGGTAGGAAAGACTGCAGGGAGGACTGCAACATGAAACCATGTTAAAAATATAGTCTTTCTATATTTTTATAGAGGGGGAAAAAAAAGCTTAATAAAAAGTGCTGACGAGAGTTTTATTTCATAGTTTGCAAGTTTGTTAGTGAGAAATTTTGACCTAAGAGCCAGTTTATAATGGTGTGGAAGATGATATGAACCCTGATAGTACTAGCTGTACCACTTCAGGCTGAATCCCTCATGGTGGCTGAGCCATTTACCAGCTACAAGCCAAGCCAAACTGCCAATGTTAATCTTGATTTTACATCTAAGAGAGAAAAATTTTACACATAATTTATTAAATTAGAAAACATAGTGACCTACTAGCTGGCAAAAAATAATGAGCTATTTTATCATCATATTTTTATTAAAAATTGGGGCTGCTTCTTTCTCCTTCATTTGAGTCTCTTTCGAATGATTACACTTCACATTAAGGCTTTAAAGTTATCACTGCCTTCCTTGGTGAATGTTCTTTCCTGTAAGTAACCATGGGGACATTGTGTCATTATCCTGATGTCAATGTATTTAAAGTAAAAATGCACACTTGACTTAACACATTTTCATAAATACTGATCTCTTATTAAGTGCTAGACATTTTATTTGGAAAAAAAAGAAAAATGAAGAACATAATTCCTTTTTTGCACTATAGGAAGCACACTACTTAAAAGTCATATATATATAAATACACACACACACACATGATCTGTACACTGTACACACACTGAGATTTCAGTAGGACTATTCCATTAATTACACACACACACACACACACACACACATATATATATACACACACATATATATGTATTGTTTTTTCTTTTTAGATAGGGTCTCACTATATTGTTCAGGATGGCATTGAACCTATGTCGTTCCTCATTTTTGAATAGCTGGGAGACACTCAGCTTAGTACCCCCATCTTTACTAGTTACCAGTTTACCAGAGTTACGTGCTTATGCTTTTACTTTTTGTTGATTTAACAATGATGATGTAACATATGTTCTATAAAACTTCACCTAATTTATTATTTTATTAATTTAATTCTCACAACAATCCTGTGTGGTAGGTATTACTGTCCTATTATTATATTCATTTACTAATGACAACATTTGCATTCAGAAAAGTGAAATGACTCATCTATATTCAAATAATCTGCTTACTGTTTGCTCTTCATCATTCTGTATTTGTTTATTCTAACTACATAAAAATCTATCCTTATACTCTTGCTGCTCAAACTGTGATTCATGGACTATATCAACTACATCATGTGGAAGCTTGTTAGAAATGCGGAATCTCAGGCCCCAGACAGACCTACTGCACTCAGACTCTGCAGTTTTGAATTACCAGGTGATGTGTGCAAACACTGCGGTTTCGGTAGAACTACTCCATCTATCATGAAAGGCAACTATGAGTAGCTTCTGCTGCAATCACCCTACAGGTCCAGTGTCTGTAGGATAAAGTTATGTAGAGAAACAAACTAATATTGATGCCACAAGGTTGAGTTGTTGAGTGTCAGAAGTAACTTTTTACAAGGTGACTATACCCATAAGGAAGTTTCTAGTCACAGATCTTGAAAATCCAAGTCATTTTTTTCCACTAGAGACCTTGGATTTAACAATTCAATTTAGCAAACATTTATCATGGTCTATTATGTGCTAGGCACTCAGCCATTTCCCAAGGGAGGTGGCTGTCCATGCTATCCTCTCCTTATTAAAGTCTAGCTACCTCCTAATGGGCTCTTCTCAATGCACAGTCCTGTCCTCAAGAACCAGGTACGACACCTATATCCTTAAGTGAATTGTACGTGAGATGTGGCTTTTAAATCACGTGGCTATGGCAGAGGATGAGAAATAGGGGAAATATGTGTATATAGATATAGATACATTTAAGAGACAAGAAATGAAAAATTATTTGTTGACAATAATATGTATGATTAACCCACTATACTGTGCATTCTGGATGAATAATCGCATTTTGTATGCTGTGATGATGTTCAGTGAATGAATGTAAAAGAAAGAAAGAAAGAAGAAAGAAAGGAGGAAAGAAAGAAAATTACAGCAAATAAAAGTTTAAAAAAACTTTACAAAATCATGTGGTTATAATACATTTGCATTAGAGCTCTCTTAAGTGCTTTCTTGTTGATTCATTTATTTAGCCCACAAACATTTACAACTTTTTCTCCTTAACTCATGACAGAGCATGTGTGTACACATATGTGAGAGTGAGAAAGATAGAGGGAGATTAGCACCTTGCATAGGGTCTGGTCATGCAATGATTCCCTTCCTTCAGTCCTCTAGACTGCGGACTGTCAGTACTCACAGACATGCGCAGTGTGTTT